AAGTTCAAATACATGGTTTCTCCCAAAGAATCTTGGGAACGGGCATTTTCTTCCCATGGAACTACAGTTCTCCTCCTTTGCCAATATGTTCTTCATTTTCTTTTCATTTATTAGACTTATTAGTCGCTTGTCACTCAAAGGTCTCCAAGAGCAAAAAAGATATATACCACATAATACCTGAGAGAAAATAGTGGGGGGATCTTATAATACTTCATATAACATAATATCCATTAAAAATACTCAAATGGTAGACAAAGCAATAATCAGACCCATTAATTAACAAATAAACAAAACCTCAACCTCCCCCAGTCCAAAAATCATTCACATCAAACATTTCTCCTCTCCCCACCCCCATTAGACATCTGGCCAATAAGAGGGGCCAGAGGTGGTCCTCATTAGCCCCAGGGCAATTGTCATTTGTAGCTGAAGACAGGAGTGCCTGGCGTGCTCTGGTCCATGGGGTCACGAAGAGTCGGACACGACTAAACGACTAAACAACAACAACAAAGCTGAGTCTTATTTGTAGCTGGACAGGGGGAAGAAAGCCTCCCCATGCCCACAGTCAGCTGTTTCTTCTTTGGCTGATTGACAGGGCCAAGGTGGTGTCCCCCTTGCAGTTGGTTTCTCCTGCCTGCAGCTTCCCAGTGGACCTTGGTCCCTCGGCTGACGACAGAAGCTGTCCTCTCTTCCGTTCCAGGAAAACCAAAGTATGGAAAGGAGTCATGGCACGGACTATTCCCCTGTGACCTTGGATTTGGTTTGGTGCTGCTTGTGGAAAGAGCCCCAATAGACAATTTTCCTGACCCAGCAAAAATCATGGTTAGCAGCAGGGTTCCTTACTGCAGGGCATGGCAATGAAAACAGTTTCAAACCAGGTTATATTTATAATGTGGAAGTAGCTTTAGGACACTGCTGTACTACAAAGGTCATATGATTCATCCCTGAGTGAATCCAGATGCCAGTTTCAAGCTGTTGGAGGTTATAGGGGATTAGAGAAATTCATGGAGAATTAGGCTATCAAAGACTACTAGTCATGAAGGCTATATATATATATATATATATATATATATATATATGAGAGATGGAGGAGAATTTCATTCAGTCTGCATTTTTAAGAAAACTCAACTAATTTCCACCTCCCAGGCTACTACTACACTGATCAGAATGTAATTATCTGCCGGATATTGCACTTTCCTGCATTTTGCCACCCAGTACTTGGCTCAAAAAGAATTCCAAAATGGGTCATAAAATGTGTATATTAAGATCGTCTCGGTATTTTAAGATAAAATATAGTTAGAAATTAATCAACTAAGATACCAGTCAGGTTGGCAGCATATAATTAATAAAATTATTGTTGTGTTGTTTTTATACATATTTCATGATAAAATAATATTTAAGTGCAAATTTTCAGACACATTCTTTTTAAAATGCAGATTCAGAAGGACATGGGATAGAATGGGCTTTGGAATGGATTCATTAAAACATTAGCATATCATACTTTCAGGTTCAGAGTCAACATGTCTCTTTGAGCCTTTTCAGACTGGTGGTTTTCTTGCAGGTGTTTTCTGCAACATATCATTATAATAATGCATTGGTGGAGATTATATACTGGGCTGCCCACATGCCATTCTGCTTTATTAGCTCTGTGCTGCTTCCCCAGTGCTATCCTATTTTTGCCACATGGAGGGTCACTTTTGTGCTATATTGCACTAAAAGCAGGGCACGCCGTCTTCTGCTGGAAAATGTGTGGCAGGAAAATTTATAGGATTTCAGCAGGGAACCACAGGACATGCACCAACTGGAAATGAAGCCGTATGGCCGCCCCAAAACTCTTGCAGGCGCAAGCAGGAATTTAAGCAGTGCTGCATATAACTGCCCCAATGCCATTATGAGCACAAATAATCATGAACGAATGGCAAAGGGCATGTTGTGGAGCCCAAGTCAACTTGTGGACTTCCTATGGGCAAGGAGAAAATGAACATGTAATGGTCAAAATTTGAAGACTGAAAAAATATTGGCTAATAGAAAATAGAATAGCTGAATGTTAATGGATGAATACTACATTTAGATGCAGGACAGAGAACCAGAAGTCTTTTAATCTTTTTCATTTTCTCCCCCCCTCTCCTTTCTTCCCCCCTTCCTTCCTTTCTTTCTGCTTTTCCCTTTTCTCTCTCTCCTCCCCCATTCCTTTTTAGATTCGAATTTAGAACTATTTCTTTTAATTTGGTGTATTTTTAAAAGATACTTTGTATTGGCTATGAACGTTTGTATATCTTTGGGCAAGTATAAATAAATATAGATATTAACAGAAAAACAAAAACAAACAGGATGCTGAACTAGATGGACCTGACCCAGCGGGGCTCTTTTTCTGTACGTTGCAGAATTTCTTTACATTAATGTAAGCCTATATTCCCACTCCTAAAAGAGCAATCGACCCCAGTGCTAACTCCTGAGAGAATTGAACAGGTTGACCAGGAAATCCAGAAAAGTTGCTTGACTCAATGATTGTTGCACAGTCTGGGAAAGGAGCTTGTGCCAACGTGAATGGGCTTCTTGTTGAGCTTTACTCAAAATGAAAACAATTGTTTAATGACTCCCACACCCCACTTTGTGCCCAGATGATAATTCTGTTTCATCTATCAGGCGTTCTCACAAGATACAAATTTCAGGAGTAAATCTGGGGATGAGGTTTATTATGAAGCCACTCACATTCCATTTTAGTAATCCCGTCTGCTTCTAAAACAGATTTCAGAGACGTATTTGTGTTCTGCTGGATAGCTTTAATGGGATTACCTTTAAGGCTGTTCTAATAAGTGGTGTTATTAAGTTGTCTGGCTCACACTGAGTCTTATACATAACCACTGGAGTTTCCCTTCTTTTCTCCTGGTTTTGTTACAAATTGGAATTAGTGTCTATCTGGTGTAGGGTTTCATGTTTTAAAGAGGATTGAATCTTTCAGTTAAATCCCCCTCACTTTTTAAAAAAAATTCTGCTGATCTTGGAAAATCCCATTCTCTCAGTCTACAGAATATGCCTAGAACTGGATTAGAGAAACCGTTTAGGAAATATCCACCAGGGATTCTGGTATCAGGCCTCCTATAGAAGAAGGAAGTACACAAACACATGCACATAACTTTGTAGCAAGTATTTTTTGAAAAGCATCCAGTTTGGAACAGAGTGACAGCGAAATTGTCTCTTTCAATAGCAGTATTTTTAAACATTGTAGATCAGGACTGGGCTGAAAGTAGACTGGGATCTACTGGTTGATATCTGGCTTCCATTTGTTTGACAATATTGGAAGATTCTGTTTTCCCCTAAAAAAAAAAGGTTGCTGAAAAAGAAGGCTTGAGTGCAAAAGGACTTGTGAGCCTGGTTCTGGTACTGATAACAAATTCCTGTGCTGACCGTCTGCTCAGAAGTACACTGCTCATTACTTCTTTGTGTATTTCTGTATATGTATTCCATGGTTTTGTACCTGGTTCTGCCTGTGGATCTCAGGATTCTAGTTTCTTTTTACAAAAACTACTTGGTAGAACTGTCCAATTGCAACATCTTTTTAGGATGTGTTAGCGCGGGATTGGGGAACTTTTTTGGCTTCGCCCTGTAGGCCAACTTTGACAGGTAGGTGGGAAAACTCACCTTTCAAGTGCATTACATCATCATGACTCAACAGGATTGGCAGGTTGGTTGTCCCACCTGCGCAGGGCTCCCAAGTGACCAACAGCTGGCTGGTGGTTGCAATTTTTACTGTGACTACCTGCAAACTTGTGCATTCCCTCATAGCCTTGGTTTGGCTAGTGGACTGCTCAATGCATTCTGAAATACTGAATACATTTACTTGAAGAATGGCCCATAGGTTTTAATGTAACTTCCTGGAAATAAATTATGCTCAGGTTTGAAGCCCAGTGTCTCCTCCCTTTCTGAGGCATGTTGCTGGGGAAATTACTGTTTTGGTTGTCTGCATTCAGTCATCTCTGGGGCCTTGGGAAAATATTCCTTTTGTTTCTTGATCTCTCACGAACCTCAGAAAGAAGAGGTTTGATTCTTAAAAGACTAAACTGTGGATGTATAATTTAGCCCAGGATTCTATATATGCTTCTCTTGCAAGAGTCTGGAGTATTCTGTTGCTGGATGGGTGGCAGCTGCTGCAAAGAGGCTTTGTTTTAATAGCTACAATTTATATGCCAGTGACAATGGGGGCTTCCCCCCAGGTCCTAGCTGAAAGTGTGTGTGTGTGTGTGTGTGTGTGTGTGTGTGTAAATCCCCTTTCCAGTCACACTGGGAGAATCAAAAGACAAGCCTTGCTTCTGCAGCACTGATAAGGATCACCAACCCCATGCCTGTAACTACAGTGGTACCTCGCAAGACGAATGCCTCGCAAGACGAAAAACTCGCAGGACGAAAGAGTTCTTTTGTTTTTTGAGTTGCTTCGCAAGACGAATTTCCCTATGGGCTTGCTTCGCAAGACGAAAATGTCTTGCAAGTTTGTTTCCTTTTTCTTAAAACCGTTAATACCGTTAAAACCGTGCTTCGCAAGACGAAAAATTCGCAAGACAAAAAAACTCGCAGAACGAATTAATTTCGTCTTGCGAGGCACCACTGTACTGTATCTTTTGCTCTATAAGACTCACTTTTTCCCTCCTAAAAAGTAAGGGGAAATGTCTGTGTGTCTTATGGAGCGAATGCAGGCTGCGCAGCTAACCCAGAAGCCAGAACAGCAAGAGGGATTACTGTTTTCACTGCACAGCGATCCCTCTTGCTGTTCTGGCTTCTGAGATTCAGAATATTTTTTTTCTTGTTTTCCTCCTCCCAAAACTAAATAACCTCCTCTTGTGGTCTGGTGCGTCTTATAGAGCGAAAAATACGGTATTTTGTATTTTTTAAAAAACTAATATATGCTATGTAACTAGTAAAAACCTAGTCCGTCCCGTTCTCCCAACTGAGCTTTATTTTGAAATAGGTTAGAGATGGAGTACCCTTCAGCAGCAGGTACAGGACACTTAATAGAACATAGGGAACGATCGCTCATACTTGCCTTCCTGTATGAGCTTTTCTTTTCTATCCCCGTCTGTTTTGAAACCACCAGAAAAAACCACCAGAAACCACCAGAAAAAAATGGGCTCTAGTCTAAAAGCAGCTCCCAGTAGTGAAGTTTTGGGGGTGACATGGAAATTAGGATAGGCATTGTACATTCTGGCATAAACCCAAGGAGTGACAGCAGGGTCATCAATGCTGGTTTGCTGGGGATTGCTGAGCTCCAGCAGGTAGTGGCGCTTGAGGCGGGAGCGGATGGCCATGAGCTTGGCCTTGGTAGTGCGCTTCTCCAGTGACACATCATAAGTGGCCGGGTGCAGCTGTGGTGGCAGCGGGAACAGGGGTGCGGGCTTGTACTTGAAGCTGGACGAAGGAGGCTCCGCCATCTTGAGAGCGGCTGGGATGGAACCTAGTAAACATCTAGTTTGATCCTTATTTTGATTTGCCACACTGAATGAAAACTCTGCCCCCCCACCACCACTAGAGTCATTGGGAAAACAAAGGAAAGAGTCATAAGGAAACATTTATGGTTTCATTTTCCAAGTGGAAAAGAAAAGATGAAATGTAAGAGTGACAATAAAAATAAGTAAATAACTATTGGCTGCTTAGATTCCCAGATTTGTTTGCTGCCCCAGTCTCTTCCTGCAAGTTGGCTGTCAGCTGCTATTCATCTTTCCTACCTTCCAAATATGTTTTTTTTTACAGTGCTTTTCTAAATGTCGCCTTATGAAGTCACATTTTTGTTTGTAGAAGGAGTTGGTGGGTGACTGACAGCGAGTGCCACCATCAGCCGACTGCCTCTCCTAAGCAGCCCCTGTTGAAGCAAAGAAAGCTGCATGGGAACCATGCCCGACAGGACCGTGCACATTTGTGCTGTGGAGATGGATGGCAGCCTATAGATGTGTAATTGCTTGCCTTGCTCAAATGAAGATGAAAAAGACTCGCCTCTTCCAGTTGGTTATTGATCCTCAGAATTGCTGAAATGACGGCGACAAATGTTTCCCAGCGACAGCCTCTGATCAGCCCTGTGGTGATTTTCTTGGACCTCCGTGGCTCCCTTCCTTTCAGAGTAAACAGCAGGTATGATCGATGTTTCTGCCATTCATTTCAAGCTGTCCCTGTGACTTATCACAAAGACGTTCCAATTAATGTAGGCTCTCCCAGCTGAATCTCTTAGCTTGGGCAATTTTGAAACCCTCTTCAAACTTTTCCCATTCTGTTCCCCCCACAACTAGCTCACATTCCTAATCTTCATGTGGTGCCTATTAAGAGAGCCTAAATATAGAATGTAAAATCTCTGTATATTTCAAGTTATCTGCAACCCACAAGGGTGGGGGGGGGGTGGAATTAAACAAGAGAGTAGTAGGCAACCGGCCAGCAATAACAGGGCTTTAACTAGCATATGAAGTATTTATAGAACACATAAGGAACAAAGGAAATGCAGTATTTCCACCAGGGAAAGCTTCTCTCGAGGTTTCAGTACTTTTGTCCTGTCCTTTAGCCTTGTTTTGAACAAGTCTGCCAGCACTGGAGTTCAGGCAATTCATAGTTTCATTTATGAAAAAAAATTAAAAACACAGGAACCAAAGTGAATTAAATTATCATATCAAAGCTGCAGGCGGTCCTGCTTGCTTGGGAGCATGGCCACTGAATTCAATGGGGCTTATTTCCGAGTAAATGCATATAGGCTTGTGCTGTAAAAGTACCAAGAGAATCTGACAGATGCTCATTCATAAGTTGCTCAATGAACAATACGGAAGTTATTTAGCAGATTGGCTCATGAATGAAATCAAATGATCCTGAGGGAACATGCAAAACATTAAGAAGACAAAAAGCCCTGCAGGATCAGTCCAAAGACCCAGCTAGCCAAGCAGTCTCTTCTCACAGTGGCCAGCCAGAGGTCTATGGGAAGCCCACAAAAACTGAGCATAAAAATCTCATTTTAATGCATGAGGGGTGTATATTTGTACACATGGCAACAAAACCAACAATAGGGAAACAACAGCCTGAGAAGGGATGGGCATATTTTTGTCTGCTAATTGGGCACGCATTTTCCATGGAAAGCAGATCCATGACCCAACAGTGTGCATTTGTTTAAATAACTTATAATAATTCATTGCCTTTCAGCCATGCTTCCAAAGAGATTTAAATAGCAGAAATGCTTCTGGTTGATCTAAAGTTGCAGAAACCAACCATCCCCCCTGGGTTTTTTTATCTATGTAGGGAGGGAGTAGCCAAAGTGAAAAAGAATATGGAACAGCTCTGAATCTATAAACACATTCATATGTCAAGCGCTGTGGGCCCATGCTGGGATAAGGTGGCTTTCTCTAGCACCACCCTCGATGTCCACCTGCAGGGAAAAGCCTACATGTAGAGATCTGTACGTGAGCTACAACCCATGTGGAAAGCACACACACATATAGCGTTCTGGGTGCATAAACTTTCCCCTGCAGATGTTCATGCTTAACAATGGGGGCCAAGACCAAAGGACAGTGCACATAGGGATGGAAACAGCACTGTGACCCTGGACCCACCCCTGTCTATATATAAGAGTATAATAAGAGCCCTATCTAGTCCAGCATCTCATGGGAAGCCCATAAACAGGACATGAACACAGTAGTTCTCATGATCCCCACAAGCTGATATTCAGAGGGATACTGGATACTGGAGGCAATATACCCATCACACAAACTAAACTCAGAACATTCATGGTATGAAAAGTTAGAGGATTTGTTGGGAATCTGAAGTAAGATAGCAAAGTTTGCCCCCAGTTCCAGTTACCTACAGAGGCAGCTTAAGGTCCAAAATAGTTTACTGCTGTAGAAGATAAGGCTTCAGTAATACAGTTCTGGGTGTTGATATATGCATGCAGCTTGAAGGCTTTTGACTTTGGCAGATATGTACATGCAAGTACTAAGTATTTCTGTTGCTCCAGCAGTTCAAGTTGTAATGGAGACTCTGACTCACTTCTCAAAACTGACCCCGACACAGAGAGGAGCAGACCCCAGACCAAATGAGCTGACATGCCTTAATCACTTATATAGACGGCACTGGGCCATTGTCATAGCAACTGGCTTGGCTGACCTTGCACCGGTTGGCTTATCTCATACATGGGGTGATTTGTATTCATGATGGAAATCAACCCCTCCCTCCATGTCCTACGGGGTCTGTACTTACTGTAAACAAAGCAGTATGAGCACTTCAAAACTGTTACTGAGCATAAGTGATCTTGAAAGTGGGATCCTATTTAACTGCCATGCTAACACCATGAGCACACATCATGATGACGGCTCGATAAAAAAGATGTATGGAAGCACTCTGCAGGAGGGGGCAGTGCACTGGAAGCACAAGAAGATTTACAAGGAGAAGCAAGAACAAAGATAACTCGCAACTTATGGATTCCAGTCCTTGCAAAGTTCCCATTTGGGTTCATATGCCAGTCATCCAATGCGTATTGGAACAAAGCTCTCTTCCTTTTTCATTTTGGTACCCTTTGGGGATGAAATGGGAAATTGTGCGTGGAATGATAAGTAACTCTCTGCACATTCCATATTGGCTGAGCTTCCCAAGTTAAATAAAAATGTTAAAAACCTCTTTCTTTCTGATTTCACAGTTGCTTAGCTTTACCATTTATTTCTAGGTATTAAAATCTGTGCCTATTCCTTTGGCTCCGCTGGACTGAGGAAACAATGGGACCAAAAGGCAATACTTAAAGACTACTGAGCGTGTAGAGGAAACCCAAACGACACAGGTCAGTAGCTTTTAGCTGAGGATCTTTCTGTACTCCGAACCTCGTACAAATCAATAAAAGATCCTCGTTTCCTTCTAGCTGTTCCATGAAGAAGAGAAGAGAAGAGAAGGTTGTACTCTATACATTGCTACTTCTAATAGGTAACTGACCTCTATTGTTAACTTTGAAAGCTATAAAATAAAGGCACCCTTAGAGATTCTTCAGAGGCTAAACATAGACTTTTAGAGCTGGAAGGGACCTGAAAGTGGGGTGGGGGGTGATGCCCACAACGATTTCTACTGTGTGCAGATGTGCCCATGGCCCCCAAAATGACCCTTGCCCTACAGCATGCATTATTATTATCTACTTTATTTATTTTAATTATTTCTATGCCATCTTTCATGTAAACATCACAAGGCGGTTTACAAAAATACATTAAAATGTCATTAAACCTTACAGAACAAATAAAAGAGTGAACAACATTGTACATTCCTGATTATTTGGGCTCATGGTAGTATTGGGCGGTTACACACAATCTCGATTTTAATACTGTTTGTACCCACTGAAGTTTTGGGGTTAGACGTACTGTTTCCTTTCCCATTGGGGCATGTCCCATAATGTCCGGCTGGAATCCTGCAACTTTTTGTACTGCAAATATTCCAGTTCATTGTTTGTCCCACTTTGGTTGTGTTGTAGCCCATCCAGACACCAATAATGTGATGACATTGGGGGTGCATTGCCAAACAACTATTAAAGCAGAATGGTGTGTGGATGGTCCAGTCAAAATACATCATTAATGTACTGTATGATTGTTACATCAATAACATGTTGCAGAATACACAAAAAACAAAAACCCAATCTGGAGGTCCCTAAGTTATTATGGTCAAGTAGTATTGATCAGCAGCAAAGACCTAAGAGAATAAAGAAGTTTGGGGCAGATTCCAACATGCCATCAGTTTTGGTATCTGCCTTATTTCAGCAGGGAGGTGGTGGTACAAAAGTGAAGGTGCGACCTTACTGTTAGTAAGACAGTTTGGAACAGAAACCTGACTTCTTACATTCCTACCTCTAATACCAAAGACAGAAGTCTATTTCCATTTAATTGCCACATGCTCGATTCAGACGACATACTATTGGTGAAGTTCATTAGTAGATGGGGCAGTGCAAGCTGTCATTTGGAAAAAAAAAAATCCACCATCATTGATCTTCTCACCAAGACTCATTTGATAAACTTCCAAGGAACAGTTTGCAAGCTGCAGTTCTAAGAACATTACATGAAAGTTCAAACCTTGTTCAAACCCAAACATGCATCTCTTACCTGTTCAGAACTCTCTGAAAATTGTATTGTATCCAATAGGTAAAGGTAAAGGGACCCCTGACCATTAAGTCCAGTCATGGCCGACTCTGGGGTTGCGGTGCTCATCTTGCTTTATTGGCCGAGGGAGCCGGCGTACAGCTTCCGGGTCATGTGGCCAGCATGACTAAGCCGCTTCTGGCGAACCAGAGCAGCGCACGGAAACGCCGTTTACCTTCCTGCTAGAGCGGTACCTATTTATCTACTTGCACTTTGATGTGCTTTTGAACTGCTAGGTAGGTAGGAGCAGGGACCGAGCAACGGGAGCTCACCCCGTCGCGGGGATTCGAACTGCCAACCTTCTGATCGACAAGTCCTAGGCTCTGTGGTTTAACCCACAGCGCCACCCATGTCCCTATTGTATTCAATAGTAAGATTTAAAAGCATCAAAAACTTTAAGCTGAATAGCAAATACTAACTAGTGAAAGCAATGAGAGGTTATTTCCATCACCATGGATCTGTGCCATTGATGACTTCATGTCTATGGAAAAGTTTAAATATTCTTTCTTACATGAAACCTTGGAAACATTGCAGATGGATGATGATTTTGAGAATACCACTGAAGTTTACAGGAACCTGTGCCATGGCAGTGCTGAGTAGGAAAATAAGGTCACTGATGAGAGGAAATTCTATGTGCAGAAGTCTTATAAGAGAATTCAAATAGATCTGGAAGAGAAAGGGATGTGGTTAGACATTGGCATCTTGAAGCTGTCAGCGGCATTACAACCCTTGTCTTAAAGGCATGCTAACTTTCAATTGCTTGGTACCCAAATGTAGTAAGTAGGCCTGTCCTGCTGCATCACAGGATGAGGAAACAATGAACAAAAATGGCTCGCGATCTTTGCTAGTACCTAACATTTCCCTTAGATTAAATTGTGCAAAAGTTATAATTCCAATTAAGATTAGTGCAAACTGTGCAATACTTGATAGATTACGCACATCATATTCTATGATTTAAAACGTGTATCCACAATACACTGAGATCTGTTCTCCATTGGGCTGTTTACTTGTGGAATAGCTAAAAATTATGGTGATGAGACAAATTTCAGGTTAAAACTGAGACCTCCCTTTTTGGGGGGAAATTAGTGGTTTACTGTGTAATGCACCTGTGTGCTGCATGTGCTGGGAATAACAAGGCAGCAGCTTCCATGATCAGGGGAATCACTTCCCTGATTATGGACTTTGCTGCTGCAAAATTCCATTTTCTCCCAATTTTTTGAGCCCATTTGGAAATCTGAGTACTCCTCCGTCCCACTACACCCCATTACGAAGACAGATGAAGTAAGTGTATAAGTGTGTGGGGTGTGTGGGTGTGCAGGCACACACCCACACTTTGCTTTTCCTTGTTTTTAAATAATTTTTTATTAATTTTCCAATACAATTGTACATTTTTATCCAAATTTTAACAAATTATCTCTTTTTGGACTTCCTTCAGCTTCTCTGACAATCATCCGTATTTATCTCTTCAATACGCATTCCCTTCATTTGTATTGCCATTTGTCTTCCCTCCCCCTTCTATTTCTTTTTAACAATACATCTCACCTTTTCAGTGCCTCTTGAAACCCCACTAGTGTTGTTTGTACATCACATACATTTTTCAGATAATCTACAAACTTTCCCCAGTCTTCGATGAACTTTTGGTCTCGCACATATCTGATTTTCCCAGTTAATTTATCCAATTCCGCATAGTCTGTCAGTTTCATTCTCCATTCTTCTATCGTCGGTATTTCCTCTTGTTTCCTTTTCTGGGCCAGTAGAATTCTTGCTGCCGTAACTGCGTATTGGAAAAGTTTACAATCCTTTCTTCTTATTTCCTTTCCTGTAATCCCTAAAAGAAAGGCTTCTGGTTTCTTTACAAAAGTATATTTTAACATCTTTTTCAATTCATTATAAATCATTTCCCAGAAACTTTTCACTTTCTTACATTCCCACCACATATGATAAAACATTCTTTCTTTTTCTTTACATTTCCAACACTTATTACACATCTTATACATCTTTGCTAGTTTTACCGGTGTAATGTACCATCTATAAAACATTTTCATAACATTTTCCTTCAACGCCGTACATGCAGTAAATTTTAGATTTTCTTTCCACAATTTTTCCCAGCCATCAAATTGAATGTTATACCCAAAATCTTTGGCCCATTGTATCATTACCGATTTAACCTCTTCATCTTTCATATTCCATTCCAACAATATTTTATACATTTTTGACAAAATTTTACATTCATTATTTATTATATCTGTTTGAAACTTTGAATCTTTTTCTCCATAACCACTTTCTTTTAAATATTTTTTAAACATTTAATTAACCTGGAAATAGTGCAACCAATCATATACGTAGTCTTTTAACTTGTTCATATGGTTTTAACTTCCATTTTCCCCCTTCTTTGATTACCATTTCACCATACGTAATCCAATTACCTCTCATATTTATTTTCTTTACACTCATAACTTCCAACGGAGATAGCCAGTGTGGAACTCTTGGTTCCAATAGATTTTTATACCTGTCCCATATTTCTATTAACGAATTCCTGAAGATGTGGTTCCCAAAACCTTTATGAATTTTCTTCTTGTCACACCATAAATATGCGTGCCATCCAAATCTGTTATCAAAGCCTTTAAGATCTAATAATTCCTTATTTTCTAATTTTAACCATTCCTTTAACCAACATAGGCATGCTGCTTCATAGTATAATTTCATATCTGGCAGGGCGAAGCCTCCTCTTTCTTTCGCATCTGTTAATAATTTATATTTAATCTTGGCTTCTTACCCTGCCAAATATACCTTGCAATCACTCTTTGCCACTCTTTAAAAATCTCTACCCCCTTTACAATGGGGATAGTCTGAAATAAAAATAACATCTTTGGAAGCACGCTCATCTTTATCATAGATATTCTGCCCCAAAAGGACAATTTCATTCTACCCCACACCTCCAAATCATTCCTTATTCCCTTCCAAACCGGTATATAATTATTCTGAAACAGATCAATATTTTTAGGAGTTAACCAAATTCCCAGATATTTTACCTTTTACACCACCTCTATCTCCGTCTGTTGCTGCATTATTTCAGTCCTACTTTGCTCCATATTTTTAGCAATTATTTTAGTCTTTTTCTTATTCAATTTAAATCCGGCCACCATTCCAAATTGTTCAATCTGCTCCAATACTTCTTTTACACTTTCTATTGGTTCTTCAATTGTTATTACCAGATCATCGGCAAAGGCCACACTTTGCTTTTCCAGGCAGTCTGACTAAAAATCAGATCCACTAAAATTATAACAGATTGTCCTAGATTTGCATGGTTTTACACAGGGTCTCCCAAACTCACCATTAAATTAAAGGTCACAGTAGCAGACTGCACACATCTGGTCTTTTCTTGGTTTGGACACTGAAAAACCACCAACAAATCACAGAAGGCACTGATGGATATTGGTGGCCTATGATTTGACAGTGGTTTAAAGGTGACCCCTTGTAAAATTACTGAGACATCAGAGCTATGATTTTGCACAGTGGCAGCCCTGGAAAGCACTATATCCACAATTTTTATAGTCCTAGATGTAACCTTTGATTTGATTATGGAGGGCATTAAAATTATGCAATTTCAGCATGATTCACTTTACTGGATCTGACTTGTACATAGCTGTCAACTTTCAGATTTGAAAATAAGGGATCAGCAGCCTCAAAAATAAGGGATTAGCAGCCTCACCTGTCCCGGGGACAGTCTACGGGACATCCAACAATCTGGGATAGCAGCGGGAAACGGCGCTACAATAAGGGAATTTCCCACAAAAAAAGGGAAGGTTGACAGCTATGGACTTGTAGCTGTACTCGCTGCCTGCCCCCCCCCCTCCCTCCTTCTCTCTCTCCCCCCATTTTGTCTCTTTCTCCATTCTGTTTCTCCCTATACTTCCTCTCTCTGCCTCCTATTGAACCTCTGTTTCTGTCCCCTGGCTGCTGCCTTCCTCCTGCTAGGCTCCCAGATCACTTTCCTTTCCCACCTAGCCTTCCCTCCACTTTCTTTTCTACTTTCCTGGTATATAAATGATGCTGATTTGAGCCTTGAAAAGCAAAGAGAGCTGAAAGAAAGAGGGCAAATGCCGCTTTTCTGATT